AATGACATTACCCCGAGCAAAACTCGATCTGTAAATTATAGTACTTTTTAGACGCCATGAACTTTTTCACTACTTACTCTTTAGCTTTTCTTTCAGCCTTTAACTCTGACCTTAGCTTTTCACCTTGACCAAAGCCTCATTAAGCTTCAAATTAGCTTTCTGCTGAAAAGATCCAAATGTAACCTTTTGAACAAACATATCCTTAAGATTGGTTGTGAGGTCCTTGACCTTTTCACTGAGGTCAATATTATCCTTCTTTACACGAGTAATAAAAGCTTTTAAAATCTTGTTGGCATCGATGGGAATGAAGAGGTCACAAGAGCACTTTTTAAGGTCTTGCTCAATTTTGTAATAGTATTCAAAAGGCCAATAGGCACTCAAAAGTCTCTGTCTCGAGATTTGAAAAATCAAAGTGGGAAGCTGCTTGTTGACTACAAAACAAAAACCAAACTTAAACTCAAATAAAATAAGAAAAATCATTAACAAAAAGTAAATTGAACTGGAAAACACACTGACTTTTTTTAGAAAAGGTCACCCTCATGATCTTCTTGACCATCTTAAGGTCCTTGAAGGCTTTTTTCAAGGAGTCATATTCCAAGTTAATTGCAACCCTCTTTAAGATATGTTGCAAACCTAATGTTGCAGGCCTATAGGGAAAGGCCTCACTACTCAACTTTTTCTGGCTTCTACCAACTATTTACTTATTACCCTTTTAAGGCAAAAAGAAGATCAATGTAGGTTAAGAAGCTAGAAAATCGATTATTTTAATGCCCTTTTGAAAAGGCACTGAGCTAGATAAAGCCTTTTCTATTTTTTTATGTTTAAAGGGATGAACAAAATGACCAAAATCAAAATCTCCCATCTAGGTTGAGGTATCTATAAAATAAGCTAAGTGTTAGAAAAAATTTATGAAAATGAACATTGTTTGGAGTTACCTCAGACCTACCTCAATACTTGGTTCTTTTGATAGCTTTAAGGAAGGTTAGCTTATATGCATTTATAACCAAATTCCCTTTCTTCAAAAAAATCCAATATTTTATCCTTAGCAATGACATCAAAGAACATTAGAAGGTCAACCTAGGTATCTTAAAAAAAATTAGGAACATTAGTTATTTCCTATACTGTAGCCTTCCTTTATCATCCCTCATTTCTATGCAAAAGAAGCAATTTTTAGCTTTTTATTGAACTCGAGCAATGCACAAAAATGTTTTTAGCTATTCGAGTTGTTATAAGGAACCAAGTCTTATCGTAAGGATTTTTTTTAACTATAGAGAGATGATTGGAAGAACACCTAATTTTTTACAAAGAATGATAAAAGCTACAATGTACTAAAAAAATTAAAAGTGAGTTTAGTGATAGTTAAATTATAAAAAAAAATAAGTTCAATGATAAAAAAAAACTAAAAAAACCTCAGACCGACCACTATAGATTCTTAATACACTCAAATTTGGTGATGTTATAAGAAAATGGTGACTTGATCGTCAAAAGTCAGCTCTGCTATATTATACCCTTGAAAAAGTCAAATCTAGCCTTCAAAGAACGAATGTGACACAAAAAGCACATGTTATGGTAGTCCTCGAGGTTGGTTTTACTCTTCAACCTTTATATAAGTTTTTTAGGGATTACACCTATGCTATAAAAAGTGTAAAAAAAGACCTGATCTAACGCATCATCTAAAAAGACCTCTCTCTCCTCACCATCACCTTTCCATTGGCTTGGTTAGACCTATCTACCTATTTCTCACTAAACCTTGCTTACTCTTTGAAGATTTATCACTAAATGACTCATCCCTCAATGAGGTAGAAGAAGCCACCACCTAAATAAAAACTAGGTTCTTTCTTACCTTAGAAAAAAAAGGAAAAAAATGATATTCCTTAGACATAGAACCCAAAATCGACACAGAAGCTCATTGAGAAAAAATGGAAATAAAAGCTTCTGGCTAAGTAGAAAAAACAAAATAAGAAAGATAAGGGCAAGTAAAAAGAACAAAAAAAATAAAGTCAGCTAAAGAAGTCAGATTGACCTTTGATATTGGGACTGGTGGAGTTTCAAGATCATGTTTTATCATAGCAAGAAGCTCGTCTACCCTATAAAATACCCACTTTCCCTTGGCATGAGCACCGTCTTTTCATTGCTAATTACCAACAGATATTGGATTTAACTAAAATACAGCTTAGATATAACCCTTTCCCATAATCACAAAAGAGACTTCATCATCCGAACCTTGTTGATTGAATTGACCTCCCATTTGCTCTACCCTAAAACTCCTAAAGCTTAAATAAGAAAATATAATATTAAAAAAAAAAGAAACATACAAAATTAAATGAAGATGGGAAAGTCAATTGAAATAAAATTAAGAAGTTTAAAGTCGAAAAAAATAGATCAATATGAAAGCAAGAAAATTGTAAAGTGAGAGATGAAAGCTCTATAAGGCCCTTTTATATAGCCAACTAAAGAACCAGATAAATGCTTCAAATCATGCCACATGTCTAAAGCGATCACCGAGGATGATCTTTCGCATTTGTAGCTTTTAATTTTGCTGTTTAATTTTTCCTCTCTTCATTAAATGTTATTTTTAAACAAAAAAGGATAAATTGATCATTTTACCTACCCATATCAGTCAAATAGCTAAATACGCCAGGTCAACCATGTACTAAGTCAAAAAATTAATTTCAAAAAAAAAAAAAGCACAAGTCCTATGTTGTCCCAAACAACAATAAGCCATCATATCATGGTCAAACACAACACCTCTTGATATGCAAATCACATTGGCCAGCACATATAAATTTGTCTAGTCCAAGCCCTATCCACCTTAACATCTAAGACCACTCACCTTAGGGACTACAGGTCGAGCCAATTAGATGTGAATCTCAAAGCCCACGTCCATTAAGCTTTGTACCATCGAGCATAAGTCAGGTCAGTACAAACTAAAGAAAGCTAATATTACACTTAATAGTTTGATACTCATACTGCTCAACGGTGCGATAGAATGTTAAAGGTATTTTTTTATCCAAAGGGTAAAATAGTTTTTTTTTTTTACATTAAAGACTAACAACAAACAACTAAAGGCATTTATGATTTTTTGGCCAGCCTAACACATCAAGCTAATCTGACATGTATGATGTCGTGTTAACCCAACCACCTCATCAACTTGCCCAACGAATCCTTTTTTATGCTAACTTGTCACTCTCTGAGTAGACAATTTGCATCTAAGTCAAATCAGTCTGTCGGGCCATCCTAACCATAAAACTGATTGTGGACAGCCTATGCTACCCCACAATCCCTTATCTTCAACTATAAATAGAGCCATCTTGATACTATCTTAGACATCTCACATGCCTCTACCTTCATAGTTTCTCCTTTCTACTTTTCTCTTCCTCTGACTTTTGATTTGAGCGTCGAAGTGCAAACATTAAAAAAACTCTTAACATTTACCTTTAATCACTTTCTTTCTACCTTTTACATTTTTAGGATTTTATCCCTTAACTTGGAGCTCCACATCAACACCAATCAATGTCATAATATTTCTAAGCTCAACTAAAAGATTGATAATTTTCATTGCGCATAAAAGTCACAATGTTTTGCATGCATTTGTCAACTATACATAGCAAAATTAGAAGAAAAAAAAATTCAAACAAATGTAGGCTTGATTTGGAGTCAATCGTGCCTACTGTTCAGTGCGATGAAACATCTTTTTTATATAAACTATCGCAAATTTTTGTTTGGATAACAAAGCTACACACGATTCAGCACGTGCTGAAAGCTCGATTGTCCACTAGTGAGAAAAAGGTGTGGTGAGCCACCACATCTTTTTTTTTGGACTCTTTATCCTTTTAATATCCTTTTATTGCTATTTTACCAAAAAAAGTTGATAATTCAATATATATATATATATATATATATTTAAAACATCATTTGATATATTACTATCATTTTTATTAATTTTTAATTATTTATTAAAAAAATTATTATTTGACATAATATAATTTTAGTATTTTTAAATTATTTTTATAAATGTTACATAATTAAAATTTTTTATTACATATAAATTAAATTTTTTTATTACATATAAATTTTAATCTAATGCCTTTAATGATTTTTTTTCATCAGAATTCATCTTACCACCATCATTATGTTTGCATCCAAATATATATTCTCACATTTATTTTAATTTCACTACTACAATAATTATTCTCATTTAGAATGCTATATTCAATTTTATTAGAACCAATTTCATTACACATCCAAATAGAACCATAATCAATTTCAACCTAAAAGCTAAAAATGAAATATCAAGTAATTGATATGAAATCAGGAGATCGGAGTAGCACTTGGCTTGCTGGCTACAATCTTTTAGGATTTTATTTAAGTGAAAAATGGAAGAAATTTTGTGAAGAGAAAACTTAAACTGGCATTTGGTCTTGACAAAAAATAATCAGAAAAAAAGGCTTTCTTTTAAAATAATTTCTAAATTATATTACTGAAATTATTTTTTAATTACAACAAAAATTTTGGTATTTGAACAGGAAAACATTAAACTTTAATGTGAATAATACGTCATATATTGTGTCTATTACAAAATTTACTTTGATAGATGTCTTTCTCAAAATTTACTTTTTTGATGTCTTTCTTCGACTAACTTTTAATTTTCAAAGTTGTATCTTTTCAAATGTAGAAAGGCGATCATCCAAAAAAAATAAATAAATTGAAATGTTGCTTTAATGACAGCTAAGGTTTTGAAATACTTGCTGTAACAGGGAAAGGAGATAAGTACAAATTTTGAGAATCTTCAAGGAAATTTATATTACAGACTAGTAGAAGTCTTACATTAACATAAGGTATTTTCAAAATATTGCACAATGAGGCTCAATTTTAATTTTTCTTTTTTATTTTTAACATTTTTTATAAATGAATGAAGCTTGAATTGACTGCTATCCCTTTGCAGGTTGAATCAATTAGCCTTCCGAGATTGAATATCACAAGAAAGAAAAAAGAAATCTACTCAGGATGACTTTGTACTAGGAGAATAGAACTTCAATGACTATAATGCAACAACGGGAAAAGTCTGGTCCAAATTGTCGGCCTAGAATCCAGTTTACACTGCTAATGTCTCAGTTCTTAACTCTCATACCTGTTAAGACACGTGGATCAAGCCGCAGGTGTTAGTTAGCACTTAGCATAGCTATTAAGTAAGATGAGTTTCAGTTTATCAGTTCAAAGAAAAGGACATCAATAAGGGCTCCAGCCATGTTCTTGAAGAAATTTTTGGTGTTCTTTCTTTGGATCAAATTGGCAACGTCGAGCAATCAAGGTTTCATCTTCAATGGATTCAGCCAAAACCAGAGTTTAGAACTTGGTGGTATTGCGGAATTGAGAACTGATGGTCTTTTCAGGCTTACAAACACTGCAGTTTTTCAGGTTGGCCATGTTTTCTACTCTGTCCCGTTTAAGTTCAAGAGTTCATCAAATGCTGATGCGCTCTCTTTTTCAACCAATTTCGTGTTTGCCATAGTTCCTGAGAACTCTAGAGGCCATGGTATCACCTTTGTGCTTGCTCCTTCCAAGGAGTTAGCCCAAGTTGCTTCAGGCCAACATCTGGGACTACTTAACTTTACAACTGATGGGAAATCCTCCAATCATATAGCTGCTATCGAGTTTGACACGTTCCAAAACCAGGAATTCGAGGATATTGACGACAACCATGTTGGTATTGATATTAATAGTTTAACGTCAGCCAAATCTGCTTCTGCAGGTTATGTTTATAACAAAACTGGTAAATTCATGCCTGCTGATCTTTCCTGTGGGGAACGGATACAGGTTTGGGTGGAATATGATGGTACAAAGCATCAATTGAATGTCTCTTTGTCTCCAATAATCCGCAAGAGTAAGCCAAAATTCCCTCTATTGTCTATGGATATCGATTTATCACCAATAATTTTAGAAGAAATGTATATCGGTTTCTCTTCAGCCACAGGTTTGCAAGTAGCATCTACATATATTTCTGGCTGGAGCTTCCAGATGGATGGAGTAGCTGAAGATCTTGATCTCGCCAAATTACCGTCTGTACCGAGCACGGGAAAGAAAAAATCCAGGAAGAAACAAGTAATACTAGCAGTTTCATTGTCATTGAGTGGAGTATTTTTGTTGGCATTTATATTCTCAGCCATTTTTTTCTTGGGAAGAAAGAAAGTCAGATTCACTGAGACACTTGAAGATTGGGAGGTTCAGTTCGGACCTCATAGGTTTCCTTACGGGGATCTATTTATAGCAACTGGAGGCTTCAATGAAAAGGAGCTTCTTGGACAAGGCGGTTTTGGTCAGGTTTATAGAGGAGAATTACCTGGACCAAAAGTCCAAATTGCAGTGAAAAGAATTTTCCACAAATCTCAAGATAGAATGAAAGAGTTTATTGCAGAGATTGGCACAATTGGAAGGCTGAGACATCCCAATTTAGTACGACTCCTTGGTTATTGTCGAGGTAAAGATGAGCTTCTTTTGGTCTATGATTATATGCCTAATGGCAGTCTTGACAGATTCCTATACAACAAGCCAGAAGTAACTCTCAATTGGAACCAAAGATTTAGCATAATCAAAGATGTCGCTTCTGCAGTCGCCTACCTGCATGAAGAATGGGTGGAAGTCATCATTCACAGAGATATAAAGGCCAGCAATGTGTTATTAGATGACGACCTTAAGGGAAAATTAGGTGATTTTGGGCTTGCAAGATGTAGTAAACATGCACAAGAAACAACTCATTTAGCTGGCACCTTTGGCTACATAGCACCAGAGCTTGCTAAAACTGGTAGGGCAACTACAAGCACTGATGTGTATGCATTTGGGGCTTTTTGCTTGGAGGTTGTTTGTGGTAGAAGGCCAGTCATGCCACGAGCATCAGCTGATAAGGTGCATCTTGTGGATTGGGTGTTTAAATGTTGGAATGAAGAGGATATCTTGAAAACAGCGGACCCCCAACTTGACAAGGACTCTCAAGTTGGAGAAATTGAGCTAGTTTTAAAGCTTGGATTATTTTGCTCGCATAATGTGGCAGCATTTAGGCCAAATATGTCGCAAATTATCTCATATCTGAATGGCCAAGCTTCATTCCCTGAAAATTTGGATACAATTCTTCGTACGAATGAGCCCCTGGAACAGTCCCGTGACTATTCTTTAACTTCTACAAAGGTGTCCGTAGGAACAATGGGAGTCACTGAATCATTCCTATTTGCAGGTCGTTAATTATATGTAAGTAAATGCATTTGTTGTTTTATTGAATTATAAAACTTATTTCCATCTTTGGGGCCTAAACCTCTAATCTTCTTTGATAAATGATCTTTTCATGTTACTAATCTTTCATCTGATGCAATTTAGATTAATTCAAGAAAATTTTATAGGCATAAAGCATGGACTGGTTTACTAATGTGGAAAGGTTTTTGCAACTTGTCAGACTAGATTAATTTAAGTCTTCATTCCCCTAGAATTAGGATGTATGAATGACATGGATGTTACATTTCTATGCTTTATTGAAATCTTCTTTAATGTTGTATGTATCCAAAAGAAAAAAAAACATTCTATTTTTCGGCAACTAAATCGGAGTTGATTGGCAGACAAAATAATATGGAAGAACTCTCAAAATCAAATACGGCCAAATAAATATCCCATGGATATTGTCCTATTCATTGATACTAAGAAAGAGATGGAAATGATGCTTCATGTTGGTAGAAAATAAAATAAAAGCATAAATTTTTAACATTTCCTAGGAAACCAAAAAGTTTTTTTTTTTTTTACAAAAAAAGCTAATTAAGAAATTGTAAGAGGAATCCAACTCTAACTACTGTAAAATTCCATTTCTTATAAAAAATAAATTATTTAAATTAAGTCCTATATTTTCTGAATACGGATTCTTCTTTTACGCTCTCACCAACAAATTAATAACCACAACAGCTTAATTAAGAAAGAACTCAAGGATGCAAACAAAAAAAAAAAAAAATCCTGCAAACATTTAGAGCATTTCTTTTGAATTTTTAATGTCTATGCTTCCGCAATACATCTTTTAATAAAGTAATCCATAATATTAATTTTACGAATGAATTGTGAACAGTACTTTTTCTTTGGACTGTCACGTGACAGTTTCATGTTGTTTCTTTCTTTTTTTTTTTACTTTTTTTTAAAATAATAAGAAATAATTTTTTAAATTACTATTGGCTTTTCTTTTTTTTAAAAAAAAAATTTTAAGATTACAAAAAAATGTATCTGTAAAAATTGTATTTTTATATGTGAGATCACTTATACTATTTTTTTATTTTTTATTTTTTTTATTTTTCCTTTTTAAAATAAAAAATAATTAAGATATTTTTTAGTCTTTTGAAACGCGCTTGAACGATGTGCTGTCTACAGCCATATTTCTTCTGTTATTGCATGCCATTTTCTAGATTTTACATTTTTTCTTTTTTTCTTTTACTTTTCTTTAAAATTATTTAATAAATACTTTTAAAAATTATAAAATTATATCATTATTAAAAAAAATTTCATGTTTGAGCCTCACTTATATAAAACTTTTTTTTGTTTTTCCTTTTTCTAACTTTTTTACTAAATCCATCTAAACATTAAATTTTAACATTCAAACATAATGTGAAATTAATTCCTTTAGAAATGATCATAATGTTCTTTTAATAACTTGACAATTGAATTATATCTATTCAAATTGACTGTAATACTTCTTTTTTTATAATTAATTAAAATTATTATAATTCTCTTCTTAACATAATTATTAAAATATCTCTTATTATAATTGATCAAAATTATTATATTGCCGCTACAACCATAATTATGAAAATGCCATCCTACTATCATTAGCCAAAATTACTACAATGCCTTTCTTACCACAATTATGAAAATATCTCTCATATTATCATTAATCAAAATTATTATAATATCTTCTAATCATAATTAAAAGAATGTATCTTATAATAATTATAAAAATACCCTTCATATTATTATTATAATACCCTCTAACTACATTAAAAAAATATATCATTCTCATTACTGTATATAATATTTCTCCAATCATAATCATGAAAGTACCCATCATATTATGATTTGTCAAAATTATTATAGTACCATCTAAGCATAATTACAAAAATATCATTTTGCTTATTTCATAACTATACATTAAATTTTAACATTCATACAATAATATAAAATTAATCCTTTTAGAAATATCATAATGCCCTTTTTAATTATTTAACAAATGAATTACATACATTCAAATTAACTATAATGCTCCTCTTTCTATAATTAACTAAAATTATTATAATACCCTTCTTAACAAAATTATTAAATACCCTTCATATCATAATTAATCAAAATAACTATAATACCTCTACAACCATAATTATGAAATGCCTTCCTATCATCATTTGCCAAAATAACTATAACGCTCTTTTTACCATAATTATAAAAATATCATTCATATTTTAATTTACAAAATTACTATAATACTTTCTAACCGCAATTATAAAAATCCTCTCTTACCATAATTATGAAAATATCTATTATATTATAATTGGTTAAAATTAAGCTAAATGTTCCATTTAGAATTTAATGTTTAAGTGTTTTCTAAATTAAAGCTATAATTTTCAATTTGACTCAATTAAGAATTAAATATTTTTAAATGTGTTCAAAAAAGGATTACTTAACAAAACCGACTTACACACATCGTTAAATCCCTTTAACCGTTAAATTTTTATTTTCTATCAGTCAAAAATTTCATTGAACATACTAACATTCATTACTATTTTTTTATTAAATTAAATTACTACTATAAATCTAAATTTTTTCAAATCTCTCATATTTCACGTTTCATTTTCTTTCACTAAACCTAAACACTCTTCTTTCTCTCTAGCCCAAACTAGCAATAGTTCCTCACAAACCCAAAAACTGGTGTCTAGCTGCCACTATAGCCGCCTCTTTCCGTCGCCAGCATCGGAAAGAGCCAAAAATTCATCTACTGATCCATTTTGGCTGTGTCTTTCATGTTATCTAAGTGGATTTTCTATAAAACACTTGAAATTACTTAGATCTACAAAGAAAACTTGCAATTTCAACCCAAAAAACCCATTTCATTATTCCAGTCTCATTTTTCACCACGTTTTAAACCTCCACCTTTCTTTCTTTTTCACAGTTTCAAAGTAGGCCAAACTGCTCTTGCAACCACTGGCACTACCATCTCTAATGGTATCATTTTTTTCTCCCTTTCACCACTGGAAAAACTCCTTACCTGATCCTCTCATTTCACCCTCTTCTTTTTTTTTTTCTTGAATTTTTTTGCCATGTACTTTGGTTTGTTGAGAATCTTTAGAATTTTATAATTTTGTGAAATTTTTTTGCTCTTGAATTTCTTCAATGTGGTTTAATGAAAAATATTTTGCTCTTAAATCCTCTTACTTTGTGGTTTAATGGAATTTTTTTTCCTCTTGAATTTTCTAACGTTGTGGTTTAATGAATCAAAATGTTTTTCACTTGCATTTTCTGACTTTGTTGTTTAGTTGAATTTCATTTTGAATTTGGTTTTGTTTTTAGTGAGAATAAGATAGCTTATGGGAGGGGGAGTTGGTTGGATAGTGGGGTGGCGTAATAGAAAAACGAGAGAAACCCAAAGAAAATTGAGAAGCTTGATGCAGAAATGAGAATTGAACAATTTGAAAAGCTTTGGGCAAAAAATCCTTAAAACCCTCTTTGATTTCATATTAATTTGGATTATTTTTAATTTTGATACAATGATTAAAAAATATGATTTTACCTCTTTTAGCTTAAAAATGAAATGTTTCACACTATTTCATCATGATTGTAAATCACTGTCGTTACAAAGTCCATTTTTGAACACATCAAAAAACATTTGATCTTTAATTAAATCAAATTAAAGTTAATAGCCTTAATTGAGAAAACGTTTAAATGTTAGATCCTAAACAAAGCATTAAGCCATAATATTATTATAATACCCCCTAATTATAATTGAAAAAATACCTTTTTTTATCGTTTCATATAATATCTCTCCAATTATAATTACGAAAAAATTATCTCATATTATGATTGGCCACAATGATGATAGTACCCTTTATGCATAATTACAAAATTTGCTTCGTAATTATGCATTAAATTTTAATAATCATACAATAATATAAAATTAATCCTTTAAAAATAATCATAATACCCTTTTAATTACTTGACAAGTGAAATTACATGTAACAAATTGACCATATACCTTTGTTTATATAATTAACTAAAATTATTATAATACCTCTCTTAACAAAATTACTAAAATACCCATTACCATAATTTATCAAAATTACTATAATGTCCCTATAATCATAATTACAAAAATGCGCTTTTACCATCATTTGCCAAAATAAATATAATGTCACTCCTACCATAATTACGAAAAAACCCATCATATTATAATTTATCAAAATTATTATAATACATTCTAACCATAATTACGATAATCTCATTTTACTATAATTATGAAAATATCCCTTATATTATAATTTATTAAAATTATTATAACATTACCTATATTATAAAAAGGCTTTTTTATTGCTTCATATAATGTTGCTCCAACTATAATTATGAAAATACCTCTTATATTATGACTAGCCAAAATTACTATAATACCTTTTAAACATAATTACGAAAATACCATTTTGATTGCTTTGTAATTATTGTAGATACCTTAATTGGTCCAGGTCCAAGCGCATTAGGCCTGGTTCAACATCCGAGTCTAAGCCCATCAAGCTTGGCTCAATAGAGTCCAAGTAGTTAGGCCCAACTGTTTATTTATTTATGGGCTTTATTTTATTTCATTTTGTTTTTATTTTTATTTTTTATTTTTGATGTTTATTTGTGATTTTTTTATTAATTTATTTTAGTTTTCTTGATTTATCTTTAGTCTTTTTTATTAAGATAATAATAGGATAATAATTGAAAAAAAAAAGAAAAAAATTACAAATTCTATCATGTATAAGCACTAACAGAATTACATATGGACTCAATCAACTAGAGGCTGAGTTATGTTTAATAAAAAATTCTTCTAATTTTTGTTTTATAAATATAGCACAAAAACACATAGGAAAAGACACACAGAAAAACACATAGAAGCAAATCACAGAAACATAGCAAGCAAAAAGCAGTAAAAAAAATCAAAGATTTATGGGTTAAAAAAAAAAAGAAATAAGGGATTTTTCTAGAAAAATCTAGAAATTTCTCAGATTTTGATGAAATTTTTCGATTTCAGTTGAATTTTTTAGTGACTTTTCTGGCGTCAGTTAAATTTTTTGGCAAGCTTCCTAGGATTCGATTGAAAATTTTTGCACTATTTGAATTTTTTGGTGAACTTCTGGTGAACCAACCCAGATTCCGA